TCACATAAAGTCAATGAGCTTCTGTGAATGGGGAGGAACAACTCAGAAAAGGAGGATGAGGGTGGTTGCACAACTCAAAGAACATCACTAATTTGTACAACTAGAAACTGCTGAATTGGTATGTGTTTTGTTGTGTATATTCCCAACAACGACAAAATTTTTAAAAAATGCTTTCACTAGTAAGAAAGCATGATGAAGGAACAGCAGAAATGACCTTTCTAATCTCCAGAAAATATTACACAATTATTGTCATAAGAAGTTAAATCAAAGAGTATGCACACAGAAAAAAAAAAAAAAAGTAAAAAAATAAGTATTAGAGAGTTGTGTTGGGCAGTTAATTAATAACGGCTTCATGCTGGCTGGTTTTCTAGATTTTGTGCTATTTGTGGATTTGTCCAATTTTAAAAGTTAATAATTCTTTCAAATTGTCTTTCCTTATTCTAGGTAAATATTTGTTTGCTCTTGCTTGTATATTCATAATGCTGTATATTTTCTTCTTGTAATCATAGTGTGGGAGTCCTGGCGTGGTGCTGGGGGTTAATGCACTGGACTACAATGCCAGTTTGAAATGCAAGATCTATGGTTTAAGCTCACCAGCTAGTCCTTGGAAACCCTCTACAGGGTCACTATGAATCAGAACTGATGCAATCTTAACAACAAACCATATTGTGGTATTTTTCTTTAAGAGGCCCTGTAGTGGGGAAGGCAATATGCAATAAGAAGGAGGTAAGCATAAGAATGATGAACACAGGTGAAGATACAGAGAGGAATGCAAGGGTTAAAGCGGATAGAGATAAATGCTGTTATATACACAACCCTGCAAGAACAGTGTTCTACAGGTAGATATTTGGACAGATACACAGGCTGAATGGGTATGGGAGAGAGATATGGATATGGGTTTGACAGAGGATGTTTGTACATGGGTATTTATCTTTGCGGCAAACATACCTATAAATGTGGTGGCATGTACAGGGGACAAAATGATGAAAACTTCTTGGACATTACCAAACACCTTGAGGCTCTGGACCTGGGGGCTCAAGACCATAGTCTCAGGGGACAC